TGCGGCGAATGATGCGATATTCGCGAAAATTCGAGTGTCACCGAAGATACGAATTGCGAGAATCATCCTTCTTTAGACGATCTCAAATTATGTATTCCGTTTTAAATATACGAAGCTACTTGACTCAAATGAAACGAAACGTGCGATCTGCAGCACGAAAAGCGCAACAGCGTCCTAAACTAATATTGCGCTATAATTTACATAGAAAGAGGTCCTAACTTTCGTAACTGACGGTATTTCTCTGATGTATGCCGGAGAGACCGGAGGTCTCATTAGCAACGAAAACAAATCTCGAATAACAGCGGTTCATGTGAAATACATTTCACACAATAAATATGTATCCTCCTCGCTCAGCTTCAGCTTCTGCAACTGAATAGCTCAAGAGCTCTCTCATCATCGGGCCGCTCCCCAATATCGAGTCATTATTATATGTTTATTTCGTCGTTTACTCGACTCGCCTTCGGCGACCGTAAAAATAAATGTTCTTAGGTATCTCGCGCAAGGGGCCGAGTCATTCCCCTAATCTGAAGAAAATCGATTTCCACGAGCAAGTCGTGCTCTCAGCGTTTCGCCCGGTCGAGCGCCGCTATCGTTTATCTTTCTAATTTATAACAAGCGCCGCCGCGTTAAAACGTTCAGTCGAACGAGAAATGTTATTAATCACCGATCAAATCTGCTTGAGGCGTAAAATACGCGCGTGTCTGATTCAACGGAGAGGAAAGTCGAACGTCTCATATCGCGTTAGCCGACTTGATAGCCCATTGATACAACGGCAAGTCGGCGTCTTGCCGTTGCGCGGAATAACATCCGCGAAATGAGTCCTGTCGAGCGTCCTTGTCTTATAACGATCTTTTCCCAGACCAGATCAAGTTTACATCACATTCGCGCACGCGAAAGCAAATGCGTACGCGCATGCAAATCTCACATTTCAAAATGCGAGAGAACTTGCTCGCACTTGCTAGCAAAAGTTGAAGCGTTCTTTAATCCACGAGGGTAATAACGGGATGCAGAGCGCGCGCGCGCGCACGTGCATCGATCAGAAACTTGTCTTACGGCGAGTTGTCTTACGGCTCAAAACACGGCACACCACCCCGCTGTATCTCTATGTCGTTAAAGCTCTAAAATCTAGAAACTACCACCGTAACGTCGGCATCGCGCGCGCGCGCGCGCACCCGCGATAGCATTCGCCGGGTCTGCCGGGAGTCGTTAGAATAAATGCGACTAGCTATTTCGCAAGGACCGTGTCGTCGTTCCCCTTAGGCGGCGGGAAAATCGATTTCTTCGATGGCGAGAGAAAGATGAGGGCGAGAGGAGGCGGCGGAGTGGGTGGGAGGGGAAGCTTCTACTTCGCGGATCGCCGATCGGAAAGATGGAGGGGGCCTTCTCTCTCTCCTGTGGGGTGGATAAGACGCTCCCCGGCGAGAGAGAGAGAGAGAGAGAGAGAGAGAGAGAGAGAGAGAGAGAGAGAGAGAGAGGGAGAGAGAGAGAGGGAGAGGGCGAGAGAGACTTGGGCCGTCTGTTTCCGCGGAAAGTGTACGATCTCCGAAGGGTCCGTCGATCAGCCGATCTCTCGCACGCATCTTATTTCTCTCGTCCGCGTGTAATAGCGTAGTATCTGCCCGCAGACGATATTTTCCGCATCGCGGCGCACCCGCGATAATATCGGATGTCGCACGGAAATGACTCGCGTCGTGTCTCTCTCGGGAGCGACACGACAAAGCGAGCGTTGTCCTCTTTCTGCGAGTCTACACAAGGTCTCGCAATCGCGAGATACCTGAGCGCGACGTCGAGGTTTCGAGCGAAGGCGTGGACCCGAGGGAAGAATTATTAGTTTGGATCGAGAGTACACGTAATACACCGCGGCCGTATCTACATCTTCTCGTTCACAAGTATCTCGGACGAATATCTGATCCGAGCAGATTGCGCAAAGCATTAGCGAGCGAGCGAGCGAGCGAGAGAGAGAGAGAGAGAGAGAGAGAGAGAGAGAGAGAGAGGGAGAGAGAGAGAAACCATGGTCTCCGCGGTGTCTTTCCTCGCCTCCTCCGATAGCTCCGATCATTTTAGTCGCGCTCGATTTACAACTAAAATATATGTCGCGACGTATCGCGTTGCGCGGTTATCGGTGCATTTCAGCGGCGGCGTGTAATTACCCGTCGCTATTACTATTAGTTACTCGATATCTCCGAACAATCGAGACTTAACGAAAGAACAAAATGACCCCAAGGAGCCCAATTGGCTCGTTTACGTTCAGCGATCGGGGCTTGGAGGGGGAGGATAGAGATGGTGGAAATTCGTATTGTTGCCCGCTGCGAAAGACAGCGAAAGCAGCCTTCAGAATTCAATAATTCGCCTCCGGCGCGGGCGCCGTCTTACGTCGTTAGATTAAGGGAGCAAATGTTTCTCGAGACCGCTACCGCCATATTGCCACTCCGTGAACATTAGGTCTGCTTGTCTTGCGTTCCCGAGGGAGCAGCAGGGGTCTCGGGGATAATATGGCGCGTCCTGTGACCCCTGTGCCATTTTTTAGATGCTTGTCTCAAAAGAAAATAATGTTTGCCGTAAGAACGTAGCGCGAGATGTTTACTCGCGTATCGGGAAATCGTAAATAATTCCGCTCGCGAACGTATCCGCGCGATTCTCAGAGTAAACTCGGCCTTCGGCGCAGCTGAGATTAATCAACGAGAAGGCAGGATCAACGTGTCGTTGAGACGACGACGGCGGCGGCGGTGGCGGCGTTTCATAAAAGCTGTAAGAGGAATGTGAAACGTGCTCGGAAAATAATTGCCTACAATAATTGTCTTTGTTGATGCAGGAATATGTGCTCCGAAAATGACGGCGAGTCTATGTAGGCTCTCGCTACTAATGACAACAAGTAGCTTCTCCATTATGGAGCTTAATTTGGTTGCCGCATGGCCCCATCGGTATCGTAAGACGCGAAAGCAACATGTAACCCGAGCACGTACGCCGTTACGCATTAAGAAAGATGTAATTGCGTCCTTCCGAGTAGTTGGAAGCACGAAGAGCTTTCCCCGCTCTGCGTACTTACGTGGGGTGACGAGCTACCCTAATAGACAAAGTTCGGTCGTTTCTCCCGTGTTGCATTCATCGCCGTGTTTTACGACGAAAAATCGCGGCTGGGGAGGGTGGGGGAGCGGGGGGGGGGGGGGAGAGGGAGGACAAGCTCGAGCGGCGAGCGTTGAAAAATGTATTTCGACGAGCGACACGAGCGAGCGACTTAAATGAGTTAAATGAGCTTGAATGAGTGAAACGCGTTTCACGCGAGGGGATTTGAGTATTTCTGGCAACGCCGCGTGCGCCCCGGGCGAGAGATCCCGCGTGATTCGATTTCTACCTGGCGAAATTAGGTTCTTACGAGCGACAACGGGCTTCCTTTAGGGAAATGTTAGAACCTGTCTGCTCGCATCTTTGCAAGAACAACGGTGAAACTCGACACAGGGAGAGAGCAATTATCTAACGTAGGTCGGGGCAGAATCGACGGTATACAACCGCCACGAGGGAAAAGAAATGGACGAGTAGGGTGAGTAAAATGGATTTGGCCGAAATTAGAAGCCCGGAGCCCATCTCGGAGCCCTGCCGAGTCGTCGGCAGGCTACGTGCGTGATTCGAAGGAGGAAATCACACGGACAACTTCAACAACAACAACGACCGCGTGTTAACTTGTTCGACGCGCTGTAGCAACTTCTTCCGTTTCTTCTTTTTTTTATCAGGCAAGCTGCATCATTCGCTCGCCCACGGACGGTCGATTTTTGCACGATGGAAATGGAAGCGTGAAGTTTAGGAATCGGAAGCGTCGCGCGATGACGATCGCGAGATTTGTCTCTGATTTCGAGAGAGATGATCGACAAAACAACGCACACACGCGCTTTCGACGGGGTAAGAGATAGGAAATTTTTTAATTAAATTTCACGATCGAGATGTATCGTCCCCGATAGCTAACATGTAAGAGTAACGATGGAACGTTGAATGACAAGCCCGCTGGGAATTTCCGACGAAAAACAAGTCCTGAAATCCGCGTGATGTTGGAAAATACGTTGCACGAGACAGGGTGAAAGAGGGTCACTCGGAGGTGCAAGATGGCCGATAAACGAAGGAGATATTTTCCCTGCGCGAAGAAGGAAACGGAACATCTCGAGATTAATTGAGTTCTCGGCCGGAATAAAAAGCGCTCACGGATAGCGGGTGATGGTGCAGTATCGTGAGCGCGAGCGAAAGAAGGAGAGGGAGAGGGGGGGGGAGAGAGAGAGAGAGAGAGAGAGAGAAAGAGAGAAAGAGTGAGCAACTTGCATTAATATATTAGAAGGAGAGCAATAGAAAAAGAAAATGGGGAAGCGATCAGCGAAGCGATCGAGCTCTCGGCCGTGGAGTAGATTAAAAGTTTGTCGAGGAATCTCCCCGGATAAGGGAGGCAATTCAGCACGATCGCGATGATATCGATTCAACGGATCGGGATGGACATTGGAAGAGAGAGAGAGAGAGAGAGAAAGAGAGAGAGATGCTTCCGCGCGCGAGCGCGTGTCTCTGTATTCAAGTCGCTGACTATTTCGCCGAATCAGATTCGAGAAGTTCCGCGTATTTTCCTGCAAACGACGATGCTCGTGTTACGAACGATTGCGTCGGTAAATAGCCGCGCCGGCTGTATGAGTTAACTTGGATTCCTGGCCATGTTTCCGAGCTCTCGTCGAGAAGTGGTGCAGTCTGCGCGTTTGTATGCGGCTCGGATTACAGCCGCGCGACGCGCATCTGTCCCTTGCAATTTTCATTGCGCTCCGAGCGCCAAGCGCTCGGACGATCGCAAATACGTATAGAGATCCGCGACAGAGATCGCAAATACGTATAGAGATGCCGCGTGCCTGTATCTTTCGGCGATACAGACGCGCTCTATTGCAGCTTGAGAAGGAAAACAAGAGAGAAAGAAAGAAGAGTGTTGCGCGCTGCGTTCAGCAACAGGCGATCAGCGATCGAGAATATGACAAACTTACCGAACGGTGAGCCGGTCCGCGTACGAGAATAGGACAGCAAACAGATCTGAAACGGAGAAGAAAGTTTTTATCAGACCGAAAGGGCGGCCGGAGAGCGTGCGCGCTCTCAGGTATTCCGCGAGCTTGAAGGATGGCCGGAAAATATCCGGTTCTCCAAAGGGAGTAATTTCATAAATGGCTTTCCGGCACGAAGTTACGTTATTACCGAAAATGAACCGCGCGTGGATCCACTTCGCTCGAAGAACTCGGCGCATCTTTTTCTCCTCCCGCGGGCAACTAATGGTAACATTGATCTCTCTCTCTCTCTCTCTCTCTCTCTCTCTCTCTCTCTCTGAGAGAGTTGAAGCCCAAGTGCATAGAACGCCGCTATTGCAGCTATATCGGAGCCCGAGACGCAGAGCGGGCTGATTGCCACGTTGTGTTAAACACCGGCACATCACTCGCAATCAGTTTAAAGTACCTTGTTCCACGGTCTCAGAACTTGCAAACTCACGGACGGAGACCACGAATACACAGATGGGTCGTCTGCGATATGAAGGCGGCAAAATTGAACAAGACAACCGAGGGGCGGGCGCGCGCAGTCGGACTTATTGATCTTATAATAAGTCAAACGCAAGACGAAGATCTCTTTCGCGGTGTTGCGCCTTTACAAGGCTGATGCGACGTGAAGACGGATCGCAAAAGAGAAAATTACTCGCGGGGAAACGAGAGTGCAAGTTCCAAACTTTATCCTTTTCTTCTCTCAGCACAAACGCGAATGCCGCTGATTAACGTGGCGCGATATTGGCTCGCGGTTTCATCAGACGCGAATGCCGCGTACATATTTACGAGACCCCGTCAGTTTTACTTGACAATGTTTCGACTGAAATCTACATAAAATTTCTCTTTGATGTAAAAATATGTGCAATGTCACTGGTTTTCTCGCAGTGTAATTATAAGCGGTATTAATGAAAATATCGAATATTAAAACAAATATTAAACGAATATAACGAATATGAAGAAAAATAAAAAAAAAACACCGCGCGGGGATTTTCGCGTATATATATATATTGCCCCGTTTTTATAAATTATTCGTCGCGCGTCGTGTAATTGTGTAAACGCCGTAATTTCAACGATAAATCTCATTCGAGCGCTAACTTTACTTCAGAATATGGCTTTTATAGCTTCGAGACGGATCTTCGCCAGTTTACCGGCAATTATCTTGCGTTACGTGCAAACTGTCGTATCCGCGCCGTCCTAAATTTATCGATCGCCTCCCCATCGCACGACGCAAATACCCGAGAACATTAATTAACCGCGGCGGGCATATCGATCGACGAAGTCGCTTCTTATCAAGGTTGAAGTTCATGTGGCATCGCGATTATTAGCGGCTGACCGGTTGCACCGTCAGCACTGATCAATTAGCGGCACATCTAATTTCCCCCGATTCGCGTATCTCGTGCCTCGCGGTTAATTATATCGATCGTACAAAGCGTCTCTCAAAATATGTCCCGCTGCAAGAATCAAGGAAAATTTTTCGGCTCTCACAATTCTAACTCTCCCGGCATATACTTGATGTCATCCGCGGTGCGCTCGACCGCGACAGTCGCGTCTCTATGTTCTTCCTTACTTGGGAACTTTAACCGTTCTATTTTTCCGTGCAATTGCCAGTCGAAATTTCCCGATAGTGGAAATCAAATTTAGAAACCGCGGTCTGTTCCGCATTGGCAGCAAAGACAAGACGGGAGAAACGAGAAGACGAAGGTAGGAGTAAGATACGCAGCCGCGTCGTCGAATTATCCACGCGGGCGCATTTCCAAAGTTCTCATTCCGTAATGACAAAGTAGAGACGACGACGACGACGACGACGACGACGACGACGACGACGACCGAGCAGCCGTTCGGCTCCCGGAATGGCTCCCTTGAAGTGTGCGTAAATGCGCATCTAATTGTGGCATTATATTTCTATAAACACGCGCCGCGCGAGCTATGACGTTATAATACTTCCCAGCGACACGTCGCGAGGGGACATTTTCCCTCAACGCGGAATAGCTCGCAACAATAACGTCTATTTCCCGAGGAGATGGAGGAAATCGTTAATCTCGGCGATCCGATTCAGCGGGGACACATTTATTTCTTGGCGGAAGTGCGGACACGTACGAGCATCTCGTCAAGTCTGCCGAGACGTCTCCGGCAGTTGAGAGATCTTACGTACGTACGTAAATTCACACGTAAAATTCGACCAATGCTGGCGCTCTGGCTGAGAAGCGTTCGGCAGAGTGACGAAAAAAGATCGACGAGTATTTCCCATTTTCCACGGTTCCCCATCGGTTTGTCCGCATCGAATCGCTACAGTGCAACCGAACCGCAACCGGGCCCTTCGTCGATGCTGATATTACAACCAGGAAGATTAATCTCGCGGGGACGTCACGATAGATGGTATCTCGAAGGAAGCATCGGGGGATAATCCATTAATTACTATTCCACCGTTACACGTCGTGTATTTATTCGATGACACGGACTCTTTTTCCGGAGCGCGGGGAACGATCGAGGCTATAATTAGCATGATCGATCGCGGCGACCTATACTACGAATGGCGCGCGGTTACGCTCATTGTAATATTAGCATTAGTATAAAGTCGATGTGAGCGGCGGGATAAAAACGGCTTTCTTTCCCGCCGTTTTTTCCGTCTTCTCTTTCGGCGAACCTTGTTACATGTATTTTCAGCGCGTAAAGAAATTGACAGACGGCTATCTCGAGAGACCACCACTGATACAAAAATGATCAACAAAAACTCGACCTCGCCGATGGATGCCGGATTCTTTTGCATCGCATCTCCGTTAGTCGACCAGCGTAGATGTGCAATTTCCACGTTTATCGTAAACAACATCGGTTATGCACCGGCGCGCTATACATAGCCGGCGATGACACCTTTTTATAGAAGTACCGAGACGCCGCACAGTGGATCGAAACGGTGGGAAAGGTGGAGAGGACGTCGAGCCAAAAATAAAAGTTCGAATTTCACAACTTCATCTACCAGAATGTATTGTAAAATAGTTGTAATATATGATCCGAGTGCAGAAAATATAAAGGAATAAGTAATATAGATACTGTAAGCGTGTAAAGTCTCGAGTTTCTGTAATAAGAAAAATGTGTTAAACATAAGTCGTGTATTTGTGTTCGCTGTATTTTGTATAAATAAATATCGATCCTTATGGTACACAATTCTATGGTTCTTCAAGAACATTTTTATCACATCCGTTGCCAGATTGTTATATTTTACGCATTCCTCTCTATGATGAATTAGAACGAAATCGTAACTCAACTCATACATATTTATTGAATAATTAAAAAGAATGTCCAAGATCTACTAAATAAGATTTAAAAAAATCATTCATATAGTAAAAAGCCGTATAGGTTTCAGCTGCGATCTTGTGCGATCTTTTCTCCTATACATCGTATAGTGGACAGAAACCACCTAACTTATAATGTACAATTGTACATGAATGAAAATTCGGTTCGGAGACAGAATTTCGGCCAGAAATCATTTGTAATGAAAATTTCAGTAAAATTTCTGTCTACATTTTCATAATATTTTTATAACAATATTCTTTTCTATTTGAATTTTAAATATTCCTGTTTGGCTTCAAGTCAGCGTCACATAGATAAGAAGCAAGACATAAATTTTTTCCGATCTGTTGCAACGGATTGAAAAAGAATCGCAAAATTTCGAATAGTCCTTTCGTTTAATCCACTTCTATTCATACACACGCAATCAAAGGATCTGCGAAGAACCTCTATGCTATCTGTACTGTTATCCTTGGCTGTTTTCACGAATTTTACAAAATCTACTAGTCTTGCAATTTTCTCTTGTGTTTTCATACAGATTGTTTAATCTTAAAATTTTCAAAAATATCTAACAAATATTTTATTAATTGAATTTATGCAAGAAGATTTCATATAACTTGCCCAAGGCTAGCTTGTTCCTTACCTTCACGTGGTGCTAGCTGTTGAATCCGAATAGGAACACTACATATTTATATATATATTTATATATATATTCGTTACAATACTATTATTATCAAAATGGTATACACAAATATTAGAAATAAGATATTTTATGAAAATTAATTTCATTAAAACGTATTCCTGCACTTGCACAAAATTTGGTTTCCGAACAGAATTTTAGTCGATGTCCACAGAATTTGAAGTTTCGATCCACTGTGCGCCGCTTGCGGCGCGGGGTCCGATATCGCGCGAATAAAAATACCTCGATATTCCGTCAGTTGTATCTCAGCGGCGTCAATCGCGGCTCAATCGCGGCTCAATCGCGGCGGTCCACGTGCCGTGACGGACGTGGCGCGCGCACGCACGTGGGTCCGACGAAGAACGGCTTCGACAGCGGTAGGCCGCGCGTCCGACTGAGCGAATCCACGGCAGGCCGGCGTTACACTCGTACTGCTGCTATTTGCGTTTCGCTCAGGGCACACACGCCGTACATCGTTAATTCCCATACGTTCGTGCCTCCATTTTCGCCTCGTGTTTGGACGAGCCGTGCGCGCCCGCGTCTACGCGCCTACATCCAGAATAGCTCGATACGGCGGCGACCGTAAATTCGCGCCGAATTATACCGACGAGCAATTTGCGAATTCGAGAAACCGTAGCGGCGGCGACGATGCATGATATTAGCGTCGAAGGACACTGCACCGAATTCCCAGATATGAAGTTCCTGAGTTTAATCAACCGACTCCCTTCGCGAGTTGGTCCGCCTGCGCGCGAGTTTCGATCTCTCCCTTTCCCCCTCTCTCAGGAATATTTCCGGAGTATTTCCGCGTCCACGAGAGACACGGGATTCTCTCCTCGACCTCGCTGGAACGACGTCGGAGGTTTAAATCTTCGCTTCCGGGGTGCACCGCGAAGACACTCGTGGCCCGCATTATGCGGCGAATTGAATTCGTCGAAATTACACCGGCGTTTTCCTTTTCATCGTCGGACGGAAGAAAGGTGTCGCTCGCGCGACAGGTTTTCCTATTCCGCCAACTCGATCCATCTTTCTCTCCACCTCTC